CCCCCCCCCCCCCCCAACCAACTTTGCTCTCTGTCCCCTCACTGTCTTACCCCACCGCCAGCGGCTGAGTGGTCAGTCCTCCCCACCCTACTCTTCAATCTTTGCCATCCCTCCCTCCCCTGCTCTTTCTGCTTTCCTACTCTGTCTTTAGAGAGCTGCCTCCTTTAGCTGCTGCTCTCCTCCATCCAACTCCCCCCACCCCCAAAAAAAATCCCAAACCAGCCAAAACCTTTAGTGGAGGGTTTTTAAAGAGGAGTCTGATTCCTGTATTCAGTAGCACAAATGGACCTTTATTTGAAGCTCCTTGACCACATGTATGGGAGGGGTCAGAGACTGCTCTGAATCAGGCTTTCACATGGGGCCCACTTTCCCTTTTAAATACGGCTCAGATCGGAGGCTAGTGACACTCTACCTTTCTCAATAAAGGACAAGATATTTATACTTGCTGCGTTACAATGGTTATGCAACGTTGCTGGCTAGATTGGCACTGCATCCACAAACATCCACTCCCTCCACCACTGACCCTCAGTCGCAGCAGTGTGTACTATCTACAAGATGCACTGCAGAAATTCAGCAAAGATCCTCAGTCAGCACCTTCCAAACCCACAACCACTTCCATCTGGAAGGACAGGGGCAGCAGATACATGGGAACACCACCATGTTCAAGTTCCCCTCCAAGCCACTCACCGTCCTGACTTGGAAATATATCGCCGTCCCTTCACTGGGTCAAAATCCTGGAATTCCCTCCCCAACAGCATTGAGGGTCAACCCTACAGCAGGTGGACTGCAGCGGTTCAAGGAGGCAGCTCTCCATCACCTTCACAGGGGCAACTGGGGACAGGCAAGAAATGCTGGGCCCAGCCAGCGACACCCATGTCCCACAAATGAATAAATAAAATTTAACGATTGACATCCGTGTGTGCTACATCCTCTCTGAACAACACATTCAATCCTGTGACTACAACATCAACGATGGGCAACTTTATGGTCTGCCTTGGGCCCTCCTGCCATCTTGTGATGTTTCCCAGAACCCCCCCACCTGTCCTTGGGATCCTATGATTATTGACCACTTTCCAATACCGCTTGTTGTGTACCTTCCTAGACATTTCCCAGCCACATTGTAAACTTGCTTATTACTCGTGACTTTACAAATTCGGCCATGCAATTCATATCCCTTGCTGACCTTAGTACAGACGATTTAAAAAGGATGTTAATTTCTACCAGTTGTTATAATATTTGTAATATCAGCCAAGAGGTAAAGTTACTTATACATAATTAAACCTGATACAATGATTCTGTGATTAAGCCAATGATTTCGGGAGCAGCTTCCCTCATCAACTTGCAAAGTGGCTGTTGTTTATTCTCTCAAGGTCATAGCGACCCTGTTTCAAAATTGTTTCTGCTCCACCCGCAACATTACTTGTCTCTTGGTACTGTTATGAGGTTATTTTGGTTATACCTTTTTTTTTGTTGTTCTAATCTTGCTGACAGAGAAAAAGTTTCTTTAAGGGTGTCTGTGCAACCGAGGCTAACCACCTTCGGAAATTTTAATCCCCCAAAATCTAATAAATTTAAATTTCTTTTTATTATTCGACGAATATGTATCTACTCTGTAATATGTAATCGTAATTATTTTAAAAAGCTGCATCTCAGGCTGGGCTAGCTTTTCCTTTCGATTTCATAGAAAAATTGGAAATCTCAAATCAGATGGTTTTCATCAGAGCTGCCTTATTAGAGGCTTGCTGTCTACATTCTAGTCCCATCTTACTAAGACTCAAAGGCATTTTGTTGTCTGGTTGTGAAGATTTGAGCTACATGCAGTGCTGCATCAGCTAAAATTTCCTTAGATTGTCTATGTCTGTTTAGAAAAAAAAAAAATCCCTAATAGACATTTTGTCATATGACATTTTGTCATATTCAGCCATGGCTAACTGCAGCAACCTTTCCCAATTTCCAAGAAATGCCCTTGGATTTTTGCAGACTGTAATCAGTCTGCACATATGTTGCCCCATCTTCGCATTCCCGTATTCCCCATGCCAGAGGTGTACGAGATAATGAGGGAGCACCGCAGAAGAGACACTGAGTAGGTCTGTGTGGGTAAGGAGTCTAAAATGTGGGCACAGACTTAACATAAAGGTCCAATCATCTAGACCTGAAACAAGGAGACATCTCTTCACTTAGAGGGTTGTGAGTCTTTGGGTTCCTCTACCCCAGAACAATGTGGATCATTGAATATATTTAAGGCTCAAGGTTTGTTTAGGCTTAGAGTCGTGCAGCATGGAAAAGGACCCTTTGATCCATCTTGTCCATGCTGATCAAGTTTCCCAAACAAAACTAGCCCTATTTGCCTGTGTTTGGCCCATTTCCCTCTGCACCTTTTCTATTCATGTACCTGTCCAAATGTCTTTTAAATGTAACTGTACCTGCACCTACCACTTTCTCTGGCAGTTCACTCAACATATGAACCACCGTCTGTGTGAAAATGCTGCCTGTAAGGTCCCTTTTGCATCTTACCCTCTCACCTCAAACCTATGCCCTCCAGTTTTGAACCCCTGCACCCTGGGGAAAAGACCTTGGCTATTCACCCTATCCATGCCCCTCATGATTTTGTAAACCTCTATAAAGGTCACCCCTCAACTTCCTACGCTTCAGTGAAAAACATCCCACCCTATCCTGGTGTGCGTATGGAATGAGCTGCCAGAGGAAGTGGTGGAAGCAGGTACATTTGCAACATTTAAAAGGAATCCGGATGGATACATGAGTAGGAAGGGTTTAGAGGGATATGGGCCAAATGCTGGCAAATAGGTCAGATTGGGATGTCTAGACAGCATGGATGAGTTGGACGGAAGGGTCTGTTTCCATGATCTATGACTTTATGGTTTTATCCAGCCTCTCCAGTCCCGAAATTGAGGAATACAGGGAATTGAAGGAGAATTGGAGGCCAATGATCAAATGTGAGAGTTTTGGATGTTAGAACATTTTCAAAGGGTCTAACTCCTTTTATTTCCTGTGATGGCTATGTTGAGGGAGAAATATTCTTTGGCTGTGTTGTGTATTTTCCAGGCTGTTTGTTTGTTTGTTTGTTTGTTTATTTAGTTGCTGTTGCTCTTTCTCTTCAGGGATGCTGCTGGCCATTCTGGAGAAGTGTGGAGCTATTCCCAAAATCGACTCGCCAGAGTTCTACGTGGGTGAAGGGACCGTCGCTGCGGGATACCAGAACTTCATCATTTGCATTGAGATGTTCTTTGCAGCCATTGCACTGCGCTATGCTTTCACATACAAAGTTTATGCAGACAAGCGAATTGACTCGCAAGGTAAAATCAAAGCATCTGCTAACGTTTTACCTATGGGGTGATCTGTGTTATGTCAGAAGTGAAAATAATTGAATGAAACGGTTGGTAACAAAGTGCCAGAGTTAGGAAGAAACAAACAAACTCCTCAGTCAGTCCCTTTGTAATTTCCATAACAGCGAGCGTCCGATTCAGTTTTGCTTTAATAAATTTGGAAACCGCTTTTGTGGAGGTTTAAACAGCCCACCCACTCATTCACACGTCGATCGATCCATCCATCCACCCACCCTCACATCCACCCGCGCGCGCACGC